ATTTTATGTAGCTCTTCACTTCTACTTATGAATGAAGGGAAAATTTTTGTTTGTTTGTTTACTTTTGTTTTCTTATTTTCAGAAAGGTCATTGTGGAACTTCTTGTTTTCTCCTTCCCCTCTGTTTTTAGTTCATGGCCAACTAGAAGTACAAAGTCTTTGAGGGCCTATTCATTCTCGTTTAAAACTAGAAGGAAAATTCAAAGTAAGGCAGACTTGAATCATTATTAGTCATGGAAGATGAGCTGACAGGGAAGGAGAATGCTCTGGCTGAACAGAGACATTTGGATGGAACTTGGGAACAAAAAGAAAGTTTATCATCTTTGGAAGAGGGAGCAAATAACTTACGAGGACTACAAGTATGTTGTGATGCTGTGCAGGGAGAAAATTAGGCCAAAGCCCAGTTGAACTGAACTTGGCCACTGAAGTGAAATACAACAATAATTTTTTCTATAAATAAATCAACAGTAAGAGGAGGGCAAAGGAGAATCTCCATCCCTTGTTGGACATGGAGGGGAACTCGGTGACCAAGGATCAGGATAAGGCTGGGGTACTAAATGTCTTCTTTGCCTCAGTCTTAGTAAGAGTAGTTACTCCCTGGGAACACAGCCCCCTGCTCTGGCAGATAGGGATGGGGAACAGAGCAGGCTCTGCATAATCCATGATGAGATGGTTTTGAACGTTCTCTGAAAGCTGGACACTCACAAGTTCATGGAATCTGATGTTTTGTACCCTAGAATACTGAGGGAGTTGGCAGATATGGTTGCCAAGCCACTCTCCATCATCCTTCAGCAGTCCTGGCTAACTGGGGATGTCCTGGGGACTGACAGATGTGGCACCCATCTTCAAAAAGGACCAGAAAGATGATTCTGGTACCTACAGACCTGTCAGTCTCACCTCAGTGCCAGGAAAAGTCATGGAATGGATAATCTTGGGAGATGTTATATGGATCAATTAAAAATCAACCAGGAGATCAGGCCCAGTCAGCATGGGTTCATGAATGGTAGATCCTGACTGACAAACCTGATTTCATTCTATGACAACGTGATCTGCCTACTCAGTGAAGGTAAGGCTATCAGTGTGGTCTACCTGGGCTTCAGTAAAGCCTTTGGCACTGTCCCCAACAGCATCTTCACAGATGACCTGGCTGCCCACGGTTTGGATGGGCATATGCTCCACTGGGTGAAACACTGGCTGAATGGCTGGGCCCAAAGAGTTGTGGTCAATGGGGTTAAATCCAATTGGTGGCCAGTTGGTGGCCAGTCACAAGTGGAATCTCCCAGGGCTTGGTATTAGGACCACTGCTATTCAACATTTTTATTAATGATCTTGATGTGGGGATTGAGTGCACCCTTCAGTAAGTTTACAGATGACAACCAAGTTGGAAGGGAGTGTTGATCTGCCAGAGGGGAGGAAGGTACTACAGAGGGACGTGGATAGGCTGGAACAATGGGCCAAATCGTATGAGTTTCAACAGGGCCAAGTGTTGGGTCCTGCATTTTCCTCATAACAACCCCAGGCAACCGTAGGCCTGGGGAGGAGTGGCTGGAAAGCAGCCTGACACCAAAGGGACCTTGGTGTACTGATGGACAGTGGGCTGAACATGAGCCAGCAGTGTGCCCAGGTGGCCAAGAAGGCCAATGGCATCCTGGCTTGGATCAGGAATGCTGTGGTGAGCAGCACCAGGGAAGTCATCCTGCCCCTGGACTCGGCACTGGTGAGGCCTCACCTCCAGTGCTGTGTTCAGTTTTTGGCACCTCAGTACAGAAAGGACACTGAGGTGCTGGAGCAGGTCCAAAGGAGGGCAACAAGTGGCTCTGGGCAACCTGTTCTAGTGGTTGGCAGCCCTGCACACAGCAGGGGATTAAAACTAGATGATCATTGTGGTCCTTTTCAACCCATGCCATTCTATGATTCTAAGGCATATGAAGGGCTTGGAGAATATGCCTTATGAGGAGCAACTAAAGGAACTGGGGCTGTTCAGTCTAGGGAAGAGGAGGCTGAGGGAAGACCTTATTGCTCTCTTCCAATATCTGAAATGTGGTTGCAGTGAGAGTGGGGTTGGTCTCTTCCCACTAGTGACAGGTGACAGGATGAGGGGAAATGGCCTCAAGTTGCACCAGAGGAGGTTTAGATTGGATATCAGAAAAATCTTCTTTACAGAAAGGGTTGTTAAGCACTGGAATAAGATCCCCAGGGAGCTGGTTGAGTCACATCCCTGGATGTGTTTTAAAACTGTTTGATGTGGTGCTCAGGGGCATAATTTAGCAGTGGGTTATTAGAGTTAAGGTAGTATGGTTAGGTTGTGGTTGAACTTGATCTTGAAGGTCTTATAAACACTTAAAAATGGCAAAATCATATTTTTATTTTTAAAACTAATGGTCCATGAGTTAAAGTGGTTGTTTTGCAAAGAAAAATTGATGTCTTTTCACATGATAAAAGCGATTGTTGTTGGTGGGCAAGGATTTATTGTATCGTTGGCTGCTTTTTCCCCCCTGCTTTTTGGTGGTTAGCTCTTGTACATGGCTCTTGTACAGGTGAGTAGCCAAGCTCCTGAAATGCTTTCAGTCACTCAGATGTGGAACATGCTCTCCTGATCACAGCACCAAGCTGCTGGAGTTCAGGAAGAATCTGGACAATGCTTTCAGTAATATGGTCTGATGTTTGGGTGGTCCTTCGTGAAGCCAGAAGTTGGACTTGATGATCCTTATGGGTCCTTTCCACTCTGGGGTATTCTATGATTCTATGAGTAGAAACTCACTTTTAGAATCAGTGGCCATATCTTTACCTTATTTCACACCGAAAAATCTGAAAATTGGATCTTCAGATCTGAAATCTTTTTGTAGCCAATGAAGTCTCAAAACTTATGAATTATGATAATTCTTTGTATAGAATTACACAATCATAAAATTATAGAGTTCCTAGAGTTGGAAGGGACCTCTAAAGGTCATCTAGTCCAAATCCCTTGCAATGAAATAAGACATCCACAGCTAGACCATGTTGCTCAGAGCCTAATCCAGTCCCTCACTGCTCTCTCTGTAAAAGACTTTTTCCTTTTATCTAACCTAAATCTACCCTATTTTGATTTGAAACCATTTTCCCTGGTCCCATCATGACAGACACTTCTAAAGTCTGTCCTCTTCTTTCCTGTATCTTCCCTTTAGATACTGAAATCAGTTCATCTTGGACCTTCCCTTTTCTAGGATGAACAGCCCCTGTCCTCAAACGGGAGGTGTTCCTCTGGATGCACTTCAACAGATCCGTGCTATGCATGTCCTGAGAACTCCAGTGATAGGACAAGGGGAATGGTTTAAACTGAGACAGGGAGGTTTAGGTTGGATATGAGGAGGAAGTTTTTCCCCCAGAGGTGGTGAGGCACTGGCACAGGTTGCCCAAGGAGGCTGTGGATGCCCCATCCCTGCAGGCATTCAAGGCCAGGCTGGATGTGGCTCTGGGCAGCCTGGGCTGCTGGTTGGTGACCTGCACACAGCAGGGGTTGCAACTGGATGAGCATGGAGCTCCTTTGCAACCCAGGCCGTTCTGTGATTCTAGGATTCTAGGATTCACAGAATCCACAGAATTCACAGATTCTATACTGATGTTATCTTTTATCTGCTTTTTCTGTCTTCTTTTTCTCTATTCTTTTTTACTTTGTCACTTCCTTTTCTCCTTTTCATCTCTCTCTCTCTCTCTCTCTCTTTTGACTGGATTCAAGGCGGGAATCTATTTCCTCTTCTTTCTGTCTCTCTTTTTACAGTCCCTGACTCCTTTCTGGTACATAAGGGTAGTATCCTTACAGCTGTTGAATATTGCTACAAGTTTTGTGGAGCATTTTTCTGTTGTAATTCTGTTGAGTTTTAAATTGCTTTGAGATTTCACAGAATCACAGAATCACAGAATGGCCAGGGCTGGAAGGAACCTCAAGGATCATGAATCTCCAACCCCCCTGCCACATGCAGGGCCACCAACCTCAATGTTTAATGCTAAACCAGGCTGCCCAGGGCCCCTGTTTATAATATTGTTGCAAGTTTTGCCAAGCCACTATCGATTGTAATTCTACTGAGTTTTAAGTCAACGTGTGATTTGTTTTAACCTCTTGAGCAATTGTTTCTTTTGGTTTCCACACTGAGAAATAAAAGGTTGATGTCAGCCAGCCCACACAGTGGGGACAGGATAGTGGTCACTCACTGTCATCTGGTACTTCAGCTGCTGTAACCTCAAGGTCACTAATTCATATCTTCAGAGCCTCTGCTGATGCTACCATCTGCATTGTGAAGAAGTAAAAATTCTGAGGCTGACTGCTGTGAATTCTTTCTTCACTGTTGTTGTTCCCAGGAACAAGACTCAATGGGAGCAGTCAATGCCACATAACTGAACTGTATTAGGACACCAGTAGCTGGACAAACGTAAAGATATCCAAATACTATGGAATCTGCTGTTGAAAAAAGCTGTCAGAGGTCAAGTTGGAGAGTAGACGTAATATGCAGCACTGTACACATATGCATAGCCATGTGTTACGTGCAGTTGATTACAATGTCTTGGTATCTTAGAAGCAACATTTATCAACTGTTCTGAAATTGAACAGAACAAATTTTGTTTTGTTTATAACTATCAGTAATCTACACACAAGGTAACAGCCACTGATGCTGTTCTTGAAACAGTTTTTGTATGTTATAGACCATTAGGGGCTTTTTTTTTCCCCCCACAGAAAGAATACTGTACTCTATTTTTCTGGCAGTGTAATTTCTATGGTTTTGTAATTTCTCCAATAGATGGCAGTAGTTACTTATTGGCTGATAAATGAACACTGTATTACAATATGCAAACACAAAGCAGTCATGACCAAATATACCAAATATGTATATATATGGGCTTAACAAATAATTCATACATATTTTTGTATGTTTCACGTCATTTGTTTTGTATATTTGAACATAAAATTCTTTCTGAATATCTTCCTTTTTTTTCTTTTTTTCTTTTTTCTTTTTTTTTTCCCCACAGAATTGTGACATTATAAAACCAAGAAAACAGGGTGACCCGAGATTAATGACAAATTTACCTGAAGGTAGGCTACTGGAAGTACCTATATTGCAGATACCTTAACTGTCTGACATTAGCTGATGAAGAATCTGTTGAATTTTATGACAGGGAATTAGCAGAAGTGAATATGTGACACCAAGTCTTCTTTTATCATTAAACATGAAAAGGTCAGATGAAACTTCATCTTCAAGCACTCATAAAGCTTCTATGATTCTACCCTCCAAGCTGAAAAGTGGACTCAAAAAGGAAAGATTTTTGACTATAGCACTTCTTATAGATGAAATTTGGAGGCTATACTACAGTTTCTTGGCTTCATAGACATACTGTACTACCTACAGTTATTTTGCTCTCAGTTTACTTTTTACATCAGCACACCTCTCTGCAGCTCCTGAGATCAATTTGTGTATTTTTGGATGGGAGAGCAGTACCAAACTGTCATTGAGCTGTATAAGCATTTGTCTGAAGTCTTTTATGCAGTTATGCCTAATCATAAAGACTTCACAAACTTAAGCTATGCCTGCGATGTTTCACCTGCTGAATAAAGTGTTGTCATGCTTAATATACTGGGGTGCTTAAAGTACAGCATTTTTTCACCAGAATGATATGTGTTTAATGCAGTTTTATAAGCAAGCACCATGGTTGGTGTGCAGATGGAGGAATGTATGGGATGATTTCCTGTGTTGCAGAAATAAAATTGAGTTCTGATTTTGCTAAATTAGTGCTTTTGGGGTGAAAATTACCATGGTCTGCTATTGCTGTGAAAAGCTGAATGTTGTCTTGCTAACTCGGTAGTCTCATTAACACAAACATAGGATTGGCTGGCATAATAAATCTCAGAAGCCCAAACAGAGATATGGAGAACCAGAAGACACTGAAAAACACTGAAGATCAACCTCAAACATAGGTATGGTTCAAAATCTAATATGAGAAATTGATACAAAAAAATATAGCTTTAGTATTTGTGAATGAGGAGATCTAAATAACCTAATGCCAGCCCTTCCTTGTTTCATGAATTCAAAGCGAGTTTCCAACCACCCTGGCTGTTACTGAGTTTTCCTGCATGCTACTTGTTATCACTTACCTACTTCTATTTCTCTAAGTGCATATAAACACGTGAATTTACTGTGTTCCACTATGTGCCCCCTGTCACGGTGTTTTATCTCCTCGCTTCTGCCTGCTGGACTCTTTATCCTCTGAAAAGGACGACATCCAGGTGACTGTTTGAAAGAAACATGCAAGTGATTACTTTGAGTGAAAAAACATGCATGGCTCTCTGCTTTTCCTTACTACACTGTCATTATGTGGCTTCACAATATCTGTAGGGAGAGCCAGGATGGCAGTGGTCATTCTGTACTCCACATTGGCTGGGCAACCTGTTTTTACTGTGAGGTTTCATGTCACACCTAGGGAGTGGTGATGAATGCGAGAAGAAAACTTTTTCCTCTTTTTGCCTTGTAGCTGTAATGAAGAAGAAAGGATGGGGAGGGAGAAAGGCAGCAAATGATGATCAGGGAGCAAACAGCATTCTTGAAATAGACAGTAAGGTAGTCTCTTGAATGTTCACAATGTCCTGAAAGCCTAGTCCAAAATTTTTATATAAGCAGTATTAATTTTGCGGTGTTGCTATTTGTCAGAAAGAAGAGTTGACTTTTTCTTCTCATACTTTTGGGCCGCAGATTCTCCTTTTATATCATCACCATGTGTTCAAAGACTCCAAAATAATAAGGAATCCTCTAAGCAATACAAGTACTGCGTAACAAAGTATGTCTCTGTAATGTATCTTCTTTCAGTGTTTCAGTGTTTCAGATGTGCCATTATACAAGTCTTGTTCTTTTCTATGCTTCTCCTTACTGCAGGTGGGTTTTCTACACAAATATTGAACAACAACATAGCATTTTCTGCTTGTGATCTTTGGAGGATAGCATAAAAAGCCTACACATCCGCACAGTTGATAGCCTTCTTTGATTTAGAGAATGTCAGATATGTAAAGCCATTTGTGGTTATCAACACGTAGATATAACAAACAGCACTTGTATCTAAGGGCTTTCCTGCTGTTCTTGGATAGAGACACTTATGACAGTCTTAATGTTTGAGCTTCTTGTATGACAAATTAATTAGTAATTACCAGGGCAATAAAACAACTCCTGTCACATGTTTGTTTGCCTTGATGTAGTCCTCACACATGTGAGGCAATACATACAACTACAGGACAAATTAAGCACACTGTTCTAAGACAGTGAATTTTGATATCCTACAGTTCTGCTGTGATGCCACTGCTGTCTTTCAGCCCACTAGCAAGTAGTATTTGAGTCCATGGCCACTGCTCTCTTTTGCAGGTAACCCTAATTCACAAGTTACTCGCCGCTTTGTTTGCATTTGCTACAACATCCTGTCCTCATCACAATTTACTCCAAACGACCTAGATTTACTTTGGAAGAGAAATAGGATAATAATCATGTAAGTGTGACAGAAGCAAGGTTGGGTTACTGGTGGGCAACATCTTGCATTAAGTTGTATTTGGAAAAGGTGAAGGTAAATATAACAGGGTAGACCAAATAGCTTTGACTCCTGACCAGAGGTCAGCTCTCCCATCTTGTAGGTCCTTTCCAACCTTGTGATTCCATGATTCTATGATTCTATAATTCTATGACTTGCTGCAATAACTAACTGATTTGAAAGTTTAAGGAAAAAGTTAACTCTCCACATTCTATAGGCTTCTTGTCCATGTAGAATTTGGTCTAAAAATTTTCTGGTTAGGGGTTAGAGCTTCATTTTAAGTGTTAACAGTGTATAGAAAACTTCAGCTTGGATGATTGTAAACTATGGAAACTAATTTAACTGCTATTTTGAAATAAACTCACTGATCAAATAAAGCATTCAAAATGTGTCATATTTGCTTGTTTGGAGATTGAATAATTAGCCTTTGTCTGTGACCACAGCCAAATTACAAAATCAGATTCAGATAAGGTTTAGGATTCGAGATCTGTGTTCTGTTTAGTGAAGGCAGAACTTTTCTTTGCATTGTTTTGTTAGCTGAGATGCATGCACCCAGTGGCACATCATATGTGATGGCAGAGTTGATGATCACAAGTACCTGATGTGATGCTTTCTGCCTGGGATAGAGAGAGTTCTTTTTTGGTACATCTTGGGGCGTCTTGACCCAGTCTCCTTGTTTCAGAAGGTGAGGCATCTTGCAGACACGACCTGGAAGAGCTTCCTTTACTTGTGAATGGACTGATCTTACATGTTTTATCAGGACCTCACAACATTTAATACTGAATCATAGGTCAAGTTTATGAAACGCTTCAGGTGTAGAATAAGGAAGATATATTGGAATTTCATAAGGAGAGAGATGATGTTTCCCATTTGCTGTACTTCACGTATGCATCAATGCTAGCAGCAATGCCTCTGTCCTTTTCAGTTCTTTTTTTTTATATTTTAGCTGAATTCCATGCCAAGTCAGAGTTTCTTCTTTCTACTGCACCTCTGGATTGAGGATGGTCGATGCAGTGCAAATGCTGACTAATGGTTAAATCTTTGTAATTATTCTTAATCACTTGGTTCATGAAATGAAAGACTCAATCGCTACATGAAGTAAGAGAAACACCAAATCAAGATATTAAGGCTCTCTTAAGAGTTTCTTGGCAGCTGCAGTGGCACCAGAATGTTAGCAGGAATAAGCCTCAGCTTATCTCATCCTGATATGTCAAAAATTACAAATATGTATTCTAGGGAAGAACACATAGGCATTTGGATGGAATCTGTTTCACAAGTGTGTAACACAGTGTTGCACAGCAGCAAGGTAGGGTGAAATAGAAGGTGGACATTCAGAGAGTATCATAACAAACCTGGATTTAATTGGCAGCTATAGAGGATTCAAAAGTCCTTTGCAATTGCAAGCGCATTGCTTTGCAACAATAAAAATTCAGGAGAACGTGAATCAGATCCAGAGACACAAATAAGAACAAAACCCGTATCCTAAGGGCCAGAAAAGTCTGTGGTCCTGACAGAATGTGGTCTGGTCACTTCCTTCTGTGATATCATCATAAGGAGTAACACAGGCCTAACTTTTTAACAACTAAAAGGGATAGAAGGACTTGTGAAAGAGCTTCCACTTAATAACTGTTCTTAATACTGGAATCTACAGAGGTAAGAAACCCATGCTACTCTGTAAGCTGACCAAAATTTTGTGTGACATCAAAAGCAAAGCATGAATAGGTACTTGCAGATTGATCTTGAGTCAGAATACAGGCATAGGTGAGAACAACACCAGCAATAGAATGAGCTACAGCTGAGGTGTGTACAAACACTATAGAGTCCATTTCTTTCTGCTGGAAGGGTGGTCATGGTAACTGCACAAAGGCACAAGGAGGGTTCTCTCTGCAAGTCCCATATTTTTGATCCTTTTTGTCCTGAAAGACAAGGAAAATAGGCTATCAAGTTGCAAGGGAATAGAGAAGAAAATAGAGTAAAGATTCACAACTGTGAAATAAATCGCAGTTGCTGGAATACAAGAGAGGACATTAACAGAATTAAGTACTGCAGGCAAGGTTGATAAAACAACAGCATTAACTGCACAGAGATCTTGGACAAACTGGAAGATACTGTTTCCTGGTTTCTTAACAGGTAAAAAGAGAGTATTTACAATAGCTGTGAGTATAAATAATACCTTGCTGCAAAAGGGGATAAATGACTGATTGGACGCCATACTCAATCTGCTTTGAAATTGGGTTCTGAAGAACATACAACAGAGATTTAGATAATAATAATTTTACCACCACATATGAATACTCCCCACTACTTTATGATCAAGATGAGCAACATCTTATCATTCATAATTTTTATGCTGATCCCATCTGAACTTATTTGTCTAAGGATTTTACATTGTACTCATCATGGAGCATGTGAGCTAGTATAATGCTGTGGAAAAGACAGAATTCCTTGTATTCCATGGACTGATTGTGTGCGAAACATTATTAAGTTAAAATGAGAGCTAAAAATCCACCCTTGGTGCAGGAATTCTATAAGAATGTTTGCTTATCAGTAACTTGAAAAGTTCATCCTTCTTGTTTTTCTTTTCCCTTTAAAAAAATCACTCTGTGTCAGTTCTGAGTACTTTTGTGTTACAAAAATACTGGTTGTTTATGTCATGATGGCCCTAATGTGTAGAAATTTAATGATCAATCTTTAGTGGCAACAATCTCTACCAAGTTTTCCAGAGTTTTCCTGTAATCTTATTTTATGTGAAGAAGAGACATTCACATACCAAAGCACTACATTGCATGACTGACAAATAAATATGGTCCATGACTGATTGGGAGGCAGTGAAACCTACTTTACTGGATCTGCATTTCCCATATTGTCTCCTGCATCCTGTTATAGTATTTTTCAGTAGATGGAAGCAATCAGTACTTTACATCACACGTATGCATATTATATCCTTTACAACCCACTGCCCACATGCTGCCACATAAAAATACAGTCAGATGCCGTCAAATGATTATGCAAAATAAAATTGATATCATTTCTCCTTCACTGTCAAGATCTTTGGAGGTTCTTTTGGTTGGGACAGGAACTTGCAATGATTTTTATGCCAGAGCAACTGCCTTGTTCCTCCTGTCTTTGCAAACATAATCTTCCCTATTCCCTATCTGATTTCAGCTGTTTCTTAAGCAAAGAGAATTCATTTTAAATAGTTTACAGATCAATGTTGACTTCCAGGGCTGTGCATATCAGTTTATGCAGGCAAAAATAACTCGCCTAACAAAAGTTAAAGATTTAGTGAAAAAGAATGAAGGAACTTTTGCCTCAGTTGCAGTGAGATTGATCGCTTTGTCAGCGAAGAAACAGCTGAGACAGCTTGGTGATACCAACTCCTGAAGAGAATAGGATTGACTGGTCACTGCTCAGTGACTTGCATTCTTTCAGGGGTAATGAAAATTCCTCCTTTTTTGTTTCACCACAGAAATGATTATAATTTCATTTAAAATAAAAATACTTGAAATAGTCGAATAACTCACCTTGCAAAATCTAAAAGCAGCCAAAGAATTCTGCTTAATCACTAAACTAATATTTTTCTTTGTGAGTATCACATTTTCACAGTGTTGCAACAGAGAAGTACATCAGAGTTACAATGTTTAGTTTCTCTATAGTCTCTAGACTGGGCCCTGCGACAATGTCCTCGAGGAGTTAATTGATTCAGGTAATAAAACCAAATCTATTTCATTGTTCAGTACCTACAAAGGGGAAGATGTATTATGAGCAGTTGAAGTCCCTTGTTTTGTTCATCCTAGAAGAGACTGAAGGCAGACCTCATGGTGGCTTACATCCTCCTCACAAGGAGGAATGTGGGGGCAGGCACCGATCTCCTCACTCAGTGACCAGTGATAGAACCCGAGGGAATGGCACAAAGCTGTGACAGGAGGTTCAGGCTGGATATCTGGAGAAGGTTCTTCCCTGAGAGAGAGACAGGGCACTGCAAAGATCTCCTCGAGGAAGTGCTCACAGCACTGACCTTGCTGGAGGTCAGCAAGTATCTGGCAATGCCCTCAGACATGCGGTCTGATTTTTGGATGGTCCTGCGTGGAGCCAGGAGTTGTTCCCAATGATGTTATGGGTCCCTTTTAACTTGGGATATTCTCTGATTCTAAAATAGAAAATGCCTAAATATCAGTAACAGGAAACTGCTGTTGTGCAAACACTGTTACATCATCTGCAGCAACAAAGATGTAGGAAATACCATCTCACTCACGTGCACACATGGACGCAGACACATCCCCTTGTGTTACATTTTAAGAGATCCTAGCAATCTTGCTATTTTGGCTCAATTTGATTCACTTACATGCTTTGAATAGCTTGCGGGAAATCCTTTCTCTGTGTTTACATACCTTTTTTTATGTTTACTTCATGCAAACTGAGAACAATGGTGGCTTTTTTTTAAATGCTTTTTATCTTCTGGGATTGTTAGATGTCTTACAGTTCTGCTGTCACTAGGTCACCTAACAGTTTAGCTTTCCCCAGTAGTGTGGAGTGTAACAGAATAACTGCTTTGAAACTTGAAGTCACACTTCAAAGGTATTTACTTATTAAAGCTGACTGTAGTGTTGCAATTTTTTAGATTAGGTAAATCCAATTCTCCTTTTAAATCATTTTTTTTAGCTGCTATAGAAACACAGAATAACAGAATTGCTCAGGATGGATAAGTCCTTCAAGATCATCAAGTCCAACCACAACCTAACCATACTACCCTATCAACCCTCTCCTAAATCATGTCCCTGAGTGCCACATCCGAATGGTTTTTAAACACATCCAGGAATGGTGACTCAACCACTTCCCTTGGGAACCTATTCCAGTGCTTAACAGCACTTTATCTAAAGAAGTGTTTCCTAATATCCAGCCTAAACTTACCCTGGTGCCACTTAAAGCCATTTCCCCTCCTCCTGTCACCAGTGAGAAGAGACCAGCCCCACTCTCGCTGTAAGCACCTTTCAGATATTGGAAGAGAGCAATTAGGTCTCCTCTCATCCTCCTCTTCCCCAGACTGAACAGCCCCACTTCCTTCAGTCTCTCCTCATAAGCCATATTCTCCAAGCCCTTCACCAGCCTTGTTGCCCTTCTTTGGACCTGCTCCAGCATCTCAGTGTCCTTCTGTACTGAGCTGCCCCAAACTGAACACAGCACTTGAGCTGAAGCCTCACCAGTGCCGAGTCCAGGGGCAGGATGACTTCCCTGGTGCTGCTCACCACAGCATTCCTGATCCAAGCCAGGATGCCATTGGCCTTCTTGGCCACCTGGGCACACTACTGGCTCATGTTCAGCCCACTGTCCATCACTACACCAAGGCCCCTTTCCTTCAGGCTGCTTTCCAGCCACTCCTCCCCAGGCCTACGGTT